CCTCTTGATGACGAGTGGCAGAAACGATCAAGAAGGTACAAGCTATGTTGAAGCTTATCGAACTTAAAAATGCTATATATTTGTAAAATATAGGTTATGGCAACTACAGCGTATAATAAGCAGTGGTTAATTGTATCCATATGTGATATTGTGCCATCTTCATTTACAATAAGTTCATTTTCAAAACCTTGTTTTAGATGATGGCGTAACTTTTCAAGTTCATTTATTAGTGAATTCTTGAGTTTTTGGGATTTTTATTTTTTGTTTTTTAAAAAAAAATTAGAAAATAATATTTATTTACAATTTTTTATAAATAATAAATTCAAATAAAATTTTGCGTAATATTTTTATTATATACCTATGATTCCTTTTCTACATATAATTGTACCAAACTAATTAACGTATCAAATACTTCATAACAATATTCATTGCAAATATTATATAGTCCACCCAAATTTTTTCGATATACATATCGACCACTTGCCAAATGTATTATAAAAGAAGTTCTCTTTATTCCATCAGGATAAGCTGCTTCAAATTTTTGCCATAGAGTTTTTTTGTTATCTTTTAAATATAGTAATGGTAGATTGGTTTTTGAATCAACACGATAAGAGCTTATAGTAACATTTTCTTTGTCAGAAAAAAAGCTCTCAAATTCTTTATCTTTTATTTCAGATATATAATTTCGTGTTACAACTGGTTTGATTTTTGCAGGACATCCTGAACCATTTATACGACTATATTTCATTGAGGCACTAATTAAATCGTTTGAAGTCTAAAAAAAATTGTGGTGAGTTTATTTATAAAATAACAAATGATATCATATTTGAACTTACTTGCAATTTATTTTGTATTTCTCTAAATCCAAACTTTTCTGTTATAATAGAAAGAATTCGTTGCTTTCCATCTAATCCGCATTTATTAACTTTGATTGCTTCTTTAAAACATTTCCAGAATTTATCAATAATTATTTTCAATTGATTGTTTTCTTTTATAAATTCAGCTTCATTATTATAAACATCATTTAGCAAATTCTTATTGAACAAGTATAGAAGTACGGTACCATCACTATTGGAATTTATCGCGCGTGTCCAAAATTCAGGCTGTAATAAAAGTAAGTTTTTTTTTAGTAAAAATCTGCAAAATTAATTCAATTTTTCAATTCATAATCAAATTTTGTATAAATAATTAATTTCAAAACTTTACCTTTGATTTTTGCTTTTTATAAGGCGTTATATTTGTACAACCCACACTTTTCATCATCTTCCTCCAAGCACGTAACTCCCGATCATTAAATTCGTAATTCAGTAGATATAGTGGTTTAAGATGTGTTATAAACTCTATAATATTTGATTCTTGTTTTTTCCACTCAATAAAAAACTTATGCCAATTAAGATCAAGAACAACAGTACGACGTTTTAAATACTGTTCGAACGCTTGGGTCATTATTTCAATATTATCCCATTCATTCACGCTACATATTGATGATTTTGCATAAATTTTCAATGCATTGGTTGTAGCAGGGTGCTCAATTCCAAATAAAATGCCACCATCATAATTTTTCAATATCCCCGTTTTCTTCCAAACTTCAGTTGGTGAAACATCACTGTAGTATGCAATTCTTTCTTTTTCTGAAATATCTCTATACAATATTTTTTACATTCAATTTTTTGTACAAAAAGACTTTGCTTGTCTCGATATTTGAACATAAAACTTGATTGATACCCAACCATACTATTGTCATTTGAATCACCTAACTTTATAATTAGAATAGAAAGTTTGTCGACTGCTATTTTAAAAGGACAAAATAAAACATCAGATAATAGTTCTTGAGTAATATTTTCATTATCAAACCCTAAAACTGAAGGTCCTGAATATCATGTTTTATTATTAAAAAGACTGTTGTAAGTTTTATTTACAGCTTCTGAAGCAGAAAGATAAATTTTTGCAGCTACATCAGATTCACAGATATAGCCTGGTTTAATGCCATCTTCTGCACTAACAATACGAACAATAAATTTGGTCTTATTAAGCTCCAATTGGACTCTCATATTAAGTCTTATAGGTATACATATTTGTTTCTCTTCGTTGAGAATTTTTCTATCAATAAAAGTCCACCAATTTACTGAATATACACCATAATGAAGTGTTGGAACGAGAACACCCGAAAAAAGAAGTTGTATTGTTTGTTTTTAAAAGACATGAGTAGCCAATTAGTAAAGAAATGGAGATTTAAAAAATCTTCATTTTTATTATTTGTTATTAACCCCGCAATTTACTATTAAATTTCGATCACGTGCTCCGATTGTTATACGTATCACGAATTAAGTTATATATTCAAAAAAATTATATTTTTGTCTTCATTTCTTCATGATATTTTATCTTGTCCGAATGGTCCTATAACGGTACTGAAGTAACATACATTTTACTTGTTATATTAAAAAAATATGATCTTTTATCTGAAATGAGATATTTTATTACATGTGATATATGCAATGCGTTTAAAAAAAAAATTTTTCATAAATTTGAAAAGGAACATTCTCAATAAATAAACCGTAACGTAACGCAAGTGCTGCTAATTTATTATTTATTCATATGTAATAGCAAAGCCCCAATGTAAATATATTTAAATAAATTTATTTGTGGCTGGGCAAAGTTTTTACGTTATAGATATCATTTGTTAATAGTGTAGTGTTCGGGCTGAAGATACCCATAATCCCTCAGGTTCGCCCCTAAAAAAATCTAAATTTTTTTGCTTTATAAATTTGAAAAAATTGTTTTTATTTATAATTAATAAAAAGTATCGTAATTTTGCATAGCATCATTATGCGTAGCATTTTTGTTTTCAAACATAAAATTAAAGATAAATTATTTGTTTACATAGTTGCAGTAATGGTAGCGTATCAGAATAATTTATTGGGCTCATTGATTGTTTCTTTGTCCGAGCCGAATTTTATTCTAGGTAGTCTATAAATTTTTTTTTAAAAAAAATATTAAAAATATCGTAACCATAAATGTTTAGTAATTTTGTGAAATTTATGGTCAGAAGTTTTTGATGGACCGGTTGTAGCCCAATGCGTTAATGTCCGAAATGATCATTTCGGATATCCCAAATGTTGTTAAACTGCAAGATTAACATTATATTATCAAAAGATCGTCAAAAATTGATCTTCAAATTTATAGTTGACTTAGTTGACAAATATGACATAAGCATTTATTTATCACGTATGATTTTCAAATAAAATTCAATAAACTAGAATTCAAAATGTCATGGAATTATTTTTTTTTACTTCTACAAAAATATAGCGAGCCAATAATGCTTATTTATTTTGTTCATCGTGCATGTTCAAACCTTCTTTGACTAACTGCAGCAATTGCCTATATTAAAAAAAAAATTTCTCATTTTATATATTTTCACGATTACATAGAGGTTTGATCGTGAATATTTATTTTATTCATATTCAGCCTTCTTTAACCAGCTCATCACCTCTATGTCCTGAAGATTTGAAATTAAGGCATTTGGTTCTTCATCATATATTGATCCAAGTTTAATTAGTCTTATGAGAGACTTGATATCATAATCATAATTATACTATATTCGTTTAACAATAAAATTGTATAAATATAAATCAATGTATTAAAAATGTATTTATGTACTGCTAAGTGAAAAGTATCATACCCTCTTGAACAATTTACATTGCTGTGCGATTTATCTTATAAAATAGTAAGTACATCACGAAACTTATAAAATAATTATTTATTGCCGGTAAAAAAAGGAATAACCGCAGTAGATATTTCCAAACAAAGAAATCAATACTAAGCACTACAAATAGATGAAAATATTAAATAATTACAAGATCATCGAATTCAAGATTGGTATCGATCGATTTATTTATGATGTATTCATTAAAAAGTAAATTAAAATGATAATGATTTTTAATGCATTGATCTCGCTATTAATAATTAGAAAACTATGTATCATTAACTTTGCATTGTTGCTGTTGCTACCCTTCTGTTTCATATTAATAAAAGAAAACTAGTTATAAACATAATTTTAAAGTATTGCGAATAAGACATTAGTGTATTAAAGGAGAATTAAACCTATTTTAAAATTTTAAAATTTTCAAAAAATTGTATGATTTACCTTTATATTCATTTCCGCTACTGCTGTATTATGCGTTTCTTTCAGTAAATACAAGTTTTAGATCAATAGGCCTTAATAATAATTGAGGTTCAAATAACAACTTTTTCTTGTGAATGCTGTCTTCAGGAAGGGTCCATTTATACTTGAGCACTTTTTAATAAAGATTATTAAATTAACTTTAAAATATCTCACTTTTTTCAAAATATATAAACCATGAATACTTACAAAACATTGAGAGAATAACTCTTTGCTCCATCAAAGTAAAGTTTTGACCAATACTTCA